GATACTAATTTTTTTATTTAAAAATTCTACTATAATTTGATTGGTCAATATTATAGTTACACAAATTTCAGGAGTTCAAATTATTTTTTTTGTGATCATCATTTATTTTTAGAAATTGCATTATTTTGAAAATAGCGATAATTTATAAAGGAATGCTTATTTTTGAAAGTGCTTATTTTTAGTTTTTACAAACATTATGGTTAAAGATAATGCAGCAATTGATTTTAAATTTACAAATTGTTATAACATAAGCTAAAATTAGTTGTAACATATATAGGTTAAAACTAATTGCAACATAAGTTATAACATTAAAAGTTGCAACATATTAATTACAGTTTCCATTTTTAATTATGGTAAAAGTAGCAAAAATGTTTATTTTTAGAAAATGCTTAATTTTAAGATTATACAGTATATTGTAAATAGGGTTGGAAAAGTTCTAAAAAGTCCTAATTGGTCCTGTTTAATTTTAAAAAAATTATTAGTTTTAAAGATTAAGTTTTTTTAAATATTATTATTATAGTTAATTTTTAAATTAAACTTACTTATTGAAATAAGTTTAAATTTTTTTTTAAAATTTAAAAAATCTTTAAAATATTAGATTTAGGACCTAGGTCTTAGGACCAGGTCCTAAATTAAGTAAATCTCTAATTTTTAAAGAATTTTTTTATTTTAAATTAATAAAAAATTTATTTAATATAATAATTAAAAAGATAAATTTATTATTAAAAAATTTAATTAGTAATATATAAATAAAAATTATCTTTAAATTCATAAAGACCAATTAGGACTTTTTAGGACTTTACCAACCCTAATTGTAAAATAAAAAATATATAAAATAATATAACATAGTCAACCCTTCTTACAGTCACATCCTATATAATCACATTATTTATTATAAGCACATCTTTTATAAAAACTAGTTCCTATTAATACTATATAAAAAAATCCCCTTCTATAATCACAATATTTTTATAGTTACACCTTTTTAAAACTAATACTTAAAAATATACTAAAAAAATACTTTTATATAGTCATTTTTCATTATAATTACTTTGATTCTGAGAGGTATGTTAATAGAGAGATTGATTATATAATAATAATTTAAGAAAACAAGAAATCAGAAAATTTATTATTCTAATAATCTAGAATAATATAAATATTTTATATTTTATATTTTAATTTTAATTAAATTATTATAATAGTAACTTGATGTAATCACGTGATAATATCATTACATGATACAAATAAATGATAATAATGATTATAATAAGTAAAGTATTAACTGATATACTTTGCATTAATAAATATTACTATTATAATTTTTATAATGATATAACTGATTGAACTTTTTATACCTTCTTAGTTACTTTCTTTTTCCTTGTTCTTTTTTATGAAAACAAGCCAAGTCAAATTATCGAGTTAGAAGAGTCAAATCAAAATGTTGATTTGTTAACTTGAGTCAAGCTTGAGACAAATCAAGTTAAAATCGAGCTGAGCTTAACCCAAGTTAAACTTAAAGACAATTGTTCTTATTTTATTATTCTATTGGAAATATGCTTTTATTTATCGTTCATTTAGAACGATATTTTATCATTCTATAAAACGATTCTTCGATCATTTCTCTGGATTGAATTGAGCCATAATTCTGATCATTGTTTGTCACTCTTCAGCAATTAAAAAATGGTAAAAAATAGAACAGCTATAATGAAAACCGGATGATTGAAATGGTTACGTCGTTTAGTCTTTTTAATAATATATATATCTCACTCCTATTCACAGTGTCCTTTTGAAAATAAAGCTTTGTTATTTCTGAAAGTAATCAGTACTTCAATGGTACTAATATCATTTGCAAAGATGATTTATCATGCTATTATTGATCTCTTAGCAGATATCCTTATTAAAATGAAAATTTTTTATTACAATAAATGGTTTCTCCTCCTTTTTCTAGTATCTAACTAACCAATCTTTCAGTATTTTTTTTTCACTCGTTTTTTCCTATTTCTTCATCACTATTAAGGCATTCCGAACTATCGAAGTCTAAACTTTCCTCTATTAAATCTCTAATGAATTAATAGTATTTAAGCATGGTGTTTGGATTGGTTCCACGTGAAGTACGTAGTAAAGTTTTAAAGTCCACCAGTGAAAATTTATTATTATTCTAATTAAATACAAGATATTAAAAAAGAGTACTTTATTCTAGGTAATATATATAATCTCAACAATGACAATAGCCAAACCTCTTTTTTGGTGATCAGTATAGGAGAGTCATTCCAATTTATCGTATCTTATGATTGATCATTTGGAACTTTGCTTGTACATTGAAGTATCAAGAATTTGTTTACCACACATAGCACAAATTCCCTGCTTATAAGCACATCCTAAAAAAAAAATTAATCCGGAATTTTAATAAAAAATTTTCACTTGAAATGTATTAATATTTATAGAAATCATATTCAAAGGAATTTTTTTATTCAAAAAAAACTGTGTGTTTCGATTATAAAATAATTACCTTGACAATAATGTGCATGTTCTTGATGTACCCGAGATTTGCAAATCTTACATTTGTTCTCATAAGGCTTAAAACTAAAAATATTAATAAAAATAATTAAACTTTATGTATATAAAAGCAAAAAAAAGTAATTATTGATTTTAAAATTATTCATATACCGGCTCTTTCCAGGTTTACTTAATAGCTTGTTTTCGTGTAATTTTCTATCGGTCCCAACTTTAATTGAAGTATCAGAAAAGTTCGAGAGAAATATATATATATATATATTATATAGGAAGTTACATACCTGCTGTGTTTCTTGATCCATCTTTCCATTTATCAGGGCAGATTACTTTTGACAATTTCTTTTCACCTTGAATATATAAATTAAAAGTTAGATCAGGAAATTCTTAAGTAGAAACATTCGATGAACATTTACATTTATTGCAGACCATGTTAAGTTGCAAAAACGGTATAATAAAGAAATTGGTAGAAATTAATTAATTTGTCAGTCATCAGTCATGTGAAAAAACAATTGATATCTAGCACATAATTTAGAAATGATTATCAGTAAAAAAAATGAGAAATTTCAAAAAATTAAATTTGCAATTTTTCTATTCAAGACGAACATTATTTGACAAGGCTGTAATAAATGGAATCAATGAAAATTTTGATAGAACAAAGTTCGTAGAGGGAGATACAGTAATCTTACGTGATACTGCGAAAAAAATTAAAGGTTCAAGAAAATCATTAATAGGACCTTTATCTAAAGGTTCAAAAACCGAAAATTTTTGTGGGATAATTTATCATGATTCTATAATTGGAATATCCATACGTTCTGTTATTAAAACTAATAAAGGTATCGTTTCAGTAAGGGAAATTCGGTTATTTCATTTCGACAAAAAAAACTTGCGAATTTATCCCCCTTTGGAATTGAATTTTTTTAGAAAAATGCTTTACAATTCATTTTCCTACGTTGGATGAGTAAGTTTATTTCTTTGGTCCCTGAATTATGTTTTTCTTTAAACAATTCACTAATATGACCTCATATAGATATGTATCAATGTTTTCAAGAAATACCACACCAATATATCCAAAGGACGCTAACACTATAGTAATGTTTAAAAATTATATAGTTAAAAATATATTATATATTAGACACAAAATAACTTTCTTTTTTTCCTCAATAGGTTGCACTTCTTGATTTACATCCATATTCAAGAATATTAGAAGTAGGTACGGGAAATGGATCTTTAACGTTATATTTAGCAAGAGCTATTTATCCAACAGGACATATACAAACCATAGATATAAATGCAGAAAATATTCGTAAAGCTCAAAAAAATATTAAACAATATTTTCGTGGAATTTATTATGATAATATAACATTCAATATCGGGTCTTGTTCTGAAATATTATATTCATTATCCGAAAGAGTCGATGGAATAATATTAGATTTACCTGAACCTTGGTTGGAATTACCTTCAATTATACCAAAGTTAAAATTAGATAGATTTATAGTATGTTACTTACCAAATATGACTCAAGTATTAGAATTAATTAAAGTTATTAGAGTAAAAAAATTAAAATTAGCTACAGAACAAGTATTAGAAATACAGTGGAGACCCTGGGAGGTTAGGTCTACCGTCATTAGAAGTAAAATGGATGAAAATATTGCCTTTTCTATAGATAATTTAGTTATGGAGAATAAAATACCCGAAAAAGCTTTGGCTTATGTCTGTAGACCTATTTGTGATAATACTACTGGTCATACTGCTTTTTTGGTACAATTGAAAAAAATTGATGAATATATATGAGAAGAGGTTCAGTGAACATACGCGATTTACGCGATTTAATGAAGGGTGAATAAATAATTTTTTCTAAAAGATTGTTTGGTTTAATGAGCTTGTAAGAATCTGGTTTTTAAATTTTTCAAAAGGTATTTGCAACAAAATCCTCAATTTCTATTACAAAAGATTTAGATCTTTTATCAATTTTGAGTTCTTTTCTTTTAAAGCGAATTTCCTATGTATAAAAATAATACAAATAATAATATCAAAAAAGCCTTATTGTATTAAAAAAATATCAAATTGTAATATAAATATGAAAGGATTCTATGTACTGTATATTAGAGTATTTATGAAAAGCAAGACATTTTTATGTTTTTATTAAAAGAAAATTGATTATTTAAAAACAAAATATAGAAGATATCTTGGTATTTTCTATATTGTAAATATTAAAATTAAAGCTTATATTTGTTAATTTGATATATCAGATACTTTTTGTAAATATCAGGATTAAAATATAAACTGCAAATACCGAAATTAAGCATTCTTAAAATTAAGCATCATTAACATTATAAATATCCCAAAATAAAACATCCTCTTGAAAATTTTTTTAGAATTATCACAAATACAATATTCAAGCTCAATTTAGTATCTGTATATTCAAAAGTATAGGGAGAAAAATATTGCATGATTTTAAAGAACAAGATATAATGCATGTACTTCTAGATGTAGAAAATATTTACACAGCCTGCCTTAGAAGAGTTTAGTCTGCATAATCAGTCGATCAGAAAGTTAATTTTAGATTTGTTATAATTTTATTAATAAAAGTAAAATATTTATTATTAAATTGATAAAAAATAAAATCATTAAATTATTGGATTTACAAATAAAAGAATTAAAAAGGAATCTAACTCCCTATAAATAATCAGTATAAGGAAAGTATACGGAAATAATACGTTTAAAAAACGTATAAAAAACGTAGAAAAACA